TCATAAGCATTGTCGGCACCTTACCATCAGTGTGGAGTGGTAGGCGATTGGACAACGTGGTAGACTTGAAGGAAGGGAATTTGTGGTTCGACTCCACTCATGTCAAGTGTTTTGCATTCTCAATTGTCACCTCCAAATAAGAGCCAAATTGCTCAGCGTCAAATTTAACGCTATATTCTCAATCAGGACCATCAGCAGCCCCTGCCAATGGGTTTACTATCAAAACTGGCAGAATAAGTCCTTAGTGCCATACTGGCACTAAACGGCGCAGGCGCCAAAAAATAAAGTTATTAATAAAAAAATAAATAACTTCTTGCGTTACAAGTTTTTCCGCCATATTCCGGTTAAAATCTGAGTTTGATTATTACCGGTGGCCCTGATAATGAATATGATATCTAGTTTTGCGCTGGTGCTATTTTGAGAAAATTTGGAAGCTCCAACCAAATGCAAAAATTTTGTCATCAGGAGGATTGATCCTTGGACCATTTCCTCACCATTTTTTGGCCTTCTCGGGGCCGTTCAGCGAAAATGGACCTGGTTCTGTAGTCCACGCATGAGTTCCTATAACATGCAAAAAACCGTTTTGAAAAAGCACGGATTGCCCTGAACGAGCTCCCTTATCTTTAATCAGTGCACCACGGATCTCTTTCACTGACAATGAGGGTCCTCTCTCACTGAAAGATCTCGAGCCGGTTGGTGGCGAGGCTACGTGGCGCGACCCCAGGTGGCGGATAGGGGGTAAATCGCGGACCAAAAGCCACCATGTACTTGCCCTGAGACGCAGGTGGATTCAGGGGATGGACTCCCTGTTTCTGTAGTGCTGTGTTGATTCATACCAGCTTCTCCACTCAGGCGTATCCATGCATGCTTGCGTGTGTGGTGCGCTCTGTGTGTGTGCGGTTGGTATCCTGCATGTCGGCACAGCCAAAAGCTTGCATTCAAGTGACTGGGAAGTACATGGGAGGCGATTCGGGACCGCCTCCAAAAACTGTAGACGAAATACGCCACAGCGGAGAACTGAAGACGGCAGTTTCCTGGACAACTCTTCTTTGCCCCTCTTTTAGTATCCAGAGCCCCGCTAAAGAGAAATGAATTATAGTTCCGGTTCCCACGTGCGCCCTTTTACGCAAAACGCCGTTACGAGAAAGCATGTCGCACTCTGACAGATCTTCCTGGTCAGTGCTGAAAGGAACAACGACTTTGAGTTGGTCGTCCAGAATGCAATTAAATGAAGCGGAAGTTATGTCAAAGAGCCAAGCTGATCTCGTTGGCCCCTTATCGTTTCGAAGAATTCGGTTCTGTCAGCCGAATAACAATTGGTTCTCACGATAGACTCCGTTCAAACAGTCAATATGGCAGAACAACAATTCGATAAGAAACAAATTTATTAACAAACGACACGAATTATGACAAACACACAAATACGGGCGATAAAAACACTGATCAAGGTAGAATGCGCTGATGAGAGTCGGAGAGACGTCAACCACTCACGAGACAATGTGGAACGGCAACTCGAACTGCTGGGGGTAGAGTTTGGCCACACAGGCCACTTATACGCACTGGGTAGTCAGAGTTCTGGCCACACAGGCCACTGTCCTGAACTGGGAGGGGTTTCAGGCCACACAGGCCATAGACACTAAGCTAGCAAGGATCTCGGCCACACAGGCCACTATCCGGGAAGAATAAGTTGCCTCCTCCTGATGAGGATAACGAGACGATGAGTAGAACTTAGTAGAACCCCGATCACAGACCCTGGCCCCTTTTATAGGGGGTTTCCCGCTCAACTCTGTACCACAGGCAGTACGCGTTGCCGCCCTGATCACTTTACTGGTCAATTATTGACCAGTTGCAGAGACCTGCGCTTTAGCGGTCTCTGCTCTACACTTCTCTCCGACTCCTTGTCCGACACAGTAACTGCTTCATCCTGAAGCTCTTACATAATTTCTTGGATCGATTCAACGTGGGATAGTTTCCTAGGGACATTAGCTCTAACTATGCAAACCCCCTCGGAACCCGTCGTAACGGTACACGATCAGTCGAGAACCCCATTGAGCTCGACCAGAGCACCATGTTTCCGGGGCAAACTTTTCTGATGCCGTCCACGTAGATGGCCACTATGAAGATTTTCTTATGAAATGAAATGCGCTCTTCAATTCTAAGTTGGGAGCACACGCTTTGAGCTGAGCAAAGTGTGATTAAATCCATTTGAGTCTGGAGACAAAATCTTTTTTTCCCATTGTTATTGTCTTTC